TGGACAGATAGCTCAGTTGGTAGAGCCCCATGACTTGTGATTCAGGGGCTCAAGATGAAATCTTGGTCCCGGTCATACATCTTTGTCCACGACAAATATATGAATCATACATGGTACATGTAGTAGTACATGAGAAAATGAATTGTTTGCGTATATGAAAGGAATCTTCGGGGAATATATTTGGAAATGGAATGAATTTAATAGCTACCAAAGTTATACTGTATAACCTGGGTTGGGACAGTTTACGCTTTATAAACCGTGAAGCGGTTTATAAAAAAATGTAAACTGTTCCAACCCAGGTTATATCGGTATAACTTGGGTAACTATATTAAATTCATTCCTTGTAATTTAATTTTCCATCATTAAATTTAGAAAATAAGACAATTTTTCCTTCAAAAATGTCTTCGAATTGTGCATATTTCAAATGTAAAGTCAAGCGGATTAATACGGTTTTGACATAAGTCATTGTGACGTAGGCAACACAGGTTATACCATTTAGATTAATTTTTTTATCCAAACAAATGACGCGTTAAAAACAAAATTAAATTTTTTGAAAATATTTCATTGCTTCGATAAGATACTGACCATTCTTGCCAAAATTTCAGATACACAAAGCAAGTATTTTAATCTTGTATATCATGATATTCTTGAAATATCCGAAAATAAGAGCCTTGTAGGAATCATTTCTAAATTGCAATAGTTTTCAATAGTTCAATTTATTCTATGCATGAATAATAAGCAAGTTACTTGAGGTTTGTTTTGCAGGTCAAGGTCTTTTACATATGACACTTATTCCTTCTTTCATTTGTCCATATGAGCCTTTATATTCTGAAATGATTTAATACAAGTAGGTCATTTCAAGATTTATTTAGAGTGGTACATTTTATTCTAAATGCAAGTGAACAAGTACCTGACTTTAAATTATTATTGCTGCTGAGTGATAATTTGATGGTACAATTTTCCAAGAATTACTGAATATTTCTGATAAATTTGTGTCATTCATGGTCTTTAATCAAATTTACAGATATTAATTAACTTTGAATATTAAATATTTTAATTGTATTTTTCAATTTCATGGACATTGCACTCTTTGTGGAATCACCTGTTGTTGTGTCAACAAGAAATACAGTAACTAGTTTTTTTTTTAATCATTACGCAAAATTACAAAGCAACACATGTCTTTTCATTGAAGCAGTAACTAGTTTAGTTTACACAAATATATGTAATATAAACTTCGAGTTCTAAATACTTGTATCAGTATTTTACATCCACTTTAAGTCCCATGGTCTTCTTGTTTTGTATTCTGTTTCATATGCAAAGTTATTTTTTCTGAAATCTGGATTTTACTGTGAGAGAAGCCTATTTTTACAGATAATAGATTGATTTCATAAATCAGCTGTTTAAGACATTTGAAACTTGATTTATGCTACACTTCATGTAATTCAAAAGTAATATGAATTATTTAATTGAAATATGCACTAATATATGTATCAGTGCTTTGTTTGAAGACTAAATTTTTTTATGTATATGTTATTTATAAATTGGGATATTGTTGGTACCAAACATTTGAGAAATTTAATGAAATTTCAATTATTTTCTGAAATAAGAATGAACAAAAAATTGTAGCCATTAAAACCTGGTGCATTTATTAATTTATAAGTATGACAAACTTCCATTTGAGAAAAAAAAATTGACAATGTAAACTATTGAAGACTGAAGTTATTTTGAAATAATGACAAGGAAAGCATCATTCGAAACAAACATTATTATATTTATTAAAGTTATCATAAATGCCTGTATGTAAATCCGAACCACGTACTATATGTAAATATTTTCAAGCCACGTACAGTTTAGCCAAATTAATACACCTATTCATTAACTCTTCTTATTAGTTTTTTCTATGCAATACAAAAGGAAATTTTCTTCCTGAGATATACCACACAAGAGTCAAAAGAATATTGTAATAATTTTACAGAAAATTACATCTTGCAGAAATTATACATATTGATTTATTCTTTAATATCATATCAGTGTTTCATTACATCAAAGTGAAAGTTCTTTAATAAATGTTTTCATCGAATCTATAATGTTGATTTTTGTTAAATTATTTTACACATTACAATGATTTTAAGGAAGGTCTGAACACTAATAAAACATGTTGTTTTTTTTTATTTAAGAAAACAGTATTATATAAAGTTGTACATACTGAGTTTATTTAGTTCAGTGTCAATGTAGTGTATCTGTCTTATTTTTCCATAAAAATATATAATTACAAGTCAATGAAGTGCTAGTATATAAATATAATATAATAAACAATTATATAATTAGTTACTTGTGTTTTCTTTTATTGATTTCCGGTATATCATTACTGGTAAATTTTAAGTAGTTCAAAAATGTTTTTTAGAAGTGTTCATCGTTGTACTGAAAATTTTTACTTTTAAAAATCTATATTTCAATGCCATAATAAACTATTATTACCACTTATAACCTAAAAGGTTGCAAAGCATACATAATAAAAAACAAGATGTGTTTTTAAAACACTGATGCCCCCTGTATGACAGCTTTTGACGAAGGTCAAACTCCAAGGTTTAGGGTAAGAGAGCAAAAATATTGTTAAAAAAATAAGGACATTTCTTAATGAATACCGTAAATCTGGAAATTTTTACTGTAGATAAATTTTTAGCGAATTTGCGCGTGCAGTGCATTCGCAAAAATATTTTTCTTAAAAATAAATCAGCAACAAAATATGTAAACGGAAATTTTGCTGACAGCGGGTGTCTATTTTCAAACCGGCGAACAAGTATTCGTAAGCAGTGGTCATTTTAAGAAACCCGTTTACGACAGATTGTTAACAAGATTTGATTTAATAAAGTGTAAGAAAACTTTAAACAGTTTAGATGTTTTACTTCTTCTAATATTTTTATCTGATTAATGAACGGTGACATTGTTAAATATTGTATGTACATGCGTAATTTATTGTATGCACATGGGTAATTTATAATCTGATTATTGAACATTGGCATCGTTTAATATTGTATGTACATGTACATGCGTAACTTATAAAGTATTATGAAAATTTTAAGCGCTATTTAATTTAAGCCCCAATGACAATTCGCAAAATTTTGAAACGTAAAAATTAATCAACAGCTTTTTGACCCAAATTCGCAAAAATAAATCGACGTAAAAATTTCCAGATTTACGGTATGCAAGTCCAAACAGCAGCCGTTCAAGTATGGAACGTAGTATGTATACACCATCATCAATATCCAGTATATCGTTGCGATCAATATCCCTATATTGTGCAAAACTGCACAGGCCAGAGTGATATCACTCGCCTTTTCAGGAGTTGTTCTCAAGCCGCTATGGAGACATGGAAATCTCTTCTTCAAGATGCCAAAGGTTTGTTCGATGACAACTCTGGTTCTTGAATCTTGCTTCCGCATCATTTGAAGGGACGGGGTACGGTGTCATTAGGTGGGGTTTGCAAGAGTAACCAGAGTCCCCCAAGAGTAGTCCTGGATATTGTCCTTAAATATAAAGAAATGGTATAAGATTACTTGAAATTATCATATTTGTGCCCCCCTCTTTTAATCAAACTTTAGCAAAAAAAAAAAAAAAAAAAAAAAATACTATTCTAATTTTTGAGTGAACTCAATAAAAGTGCAATTAGCGCTAATCGGTGATTTTCCACGGTAGTGCTCCCAGGCAATTAATGTCAATAGCAGTAAAGAATGGTTTTTCAACCTTGGAAAGGGGGGGGGGGGGGTGGTCCTTAACATATGCACTCGGTAATAAAATAGATAACGTATGTGGTATATATTGAATGACAATGACATTTCAAATACTTGGGTCAAATGTCAGGTGCTTTGATGTTTGTACAACTCTTTGTTTATGCCTGTTCACAGAATTGTATTGTTTGTATTAGTCTAGTTTTTATGAGATCGATCACAGTTCGTTATCTTCATCTTTTTCATTAGATCTTAAAACCTTTGGATCCAAACCCCAAAAGTTGCTCCAATTTGCCACTCTTAGGGAAATATCGATGATTAGCATCACACTTTTATAGAATTTTGTAGAATTCACCGCTGTCGTAAAATGGGATTTCTTTCCATATACATGTATATATATTGATTTCAATAATTATTCAATTTAACAAAACTTTAATTTACAAATGAAGTACCTAGGACCATGAAATAAGTAACTATGTGAACACATTTAAAAAAAACCCATCAAGCATGTTGCAACTAATAAGGGAAAATGATAACCATCTTCTATATGAAAAGTTTTGAAATTATCCACTATTTTGGCTTTGAGTATTCTTAATTATTTTCTTTAATTTGCATTCAATTTTGTTATTGAGGTAGTGCCCCCCCCCCCCCCCCAACACCTGAAGTGTGGATGCCCCCTTCTTAAATTAAGTAAGAGTCTTCAACTTCTCAAGAATATGAGATTTCTCAGTCAATCACACCCATTTTTCGTTCCATACAGGCAGGATTGTACATTTTCTTAAGTTTAGAGAATGGCCATGCATGTATACATACATTTACGTTATAATAAACTTTATTATATAGTGTACATGGCCAATCTCTAAACGTAAGAAGTACAATCTGCTTGCATGAAACGGCATAGGTCGTGATTGAGTGTGATTGATGGGGAAATATTATATATTTGAGAAAGTATAAGTTCTTACGATTTTTTAAATAATTGTATGTGTGGGTGGAGGGGGGGGAGGGGGGTCCACATTTCAGGTACCTGTGAATCCCACCTTTCCCATTTATTTTTTTTTTTTTGGCCAATTATGTGTACATGATGGCATAAATAGAAATCGTTCCATATCTTTTCTTTCTTTTTGTATTTTTTTTTAAAGTTTTATTGCAACAAAGTATAAGATGTATGCGAAAACAAAACGGCTTGATTGTTTTATTGATTCGAAGGATTTATGGTACGATGTAACTTGCATCCATTTGTTCTGTGATTACTTCCCTTGTTTTGTTGTTTACCTGCGATGGAATAGAAATGCTTTTTCACTCCATCAGCTGCATGTCTTGCTGGCATCCTTATAAATTGCCATGACATCTGACACAAAGCATGACAAACATCCTTAACCGCCCTACACACAGTGGATGGGGACAGGCTGTCAAATGCATCGGCTACAAAGGAATAAAAAGCTCCGGTGGCGAGAAATCTCAGTGTGGCCATAACCTGCAGAAGGGGTGTGAGGGCACAGCTTCGCAGAGTATCTCTCTCGAGAAATCGTCTTAATAAATTCACCACGAACAAAATTGTGTTCGGGCGAAAACGATACCTTTTGAAAATCTCCTTCTCTGGCATTAATTCTAAAGGATTTTCACGGTCAACAAGCCTGTTGTGAGCAACTCTCTGTCTATGTCGACGTCTACGACGCTGCCGTCGGTTGTTCACCGCCATGTTTGAGATTTTTTTTAAGGACTTAAGTTTACTATGAAGGTTACCTAAGTTTTTCCTCAGTTTGAGTAAGAAAAAGAACTTAAGTTTTTTCGAGAAATGCAATATTTTGAGTTTTCTCAAATTTGAGATTTTTCTCAGAAATTTGAGTAAAAACTAAGACTTCAGTCTGAGATTTAACTTAATTTTTTTTTCGAGAAATCCAAGCCTGGAGATGTTATAATGATGCATCATCCCAGAAAAAAACCTTTAAAATTGGTCGATTAGTTTCTGAGAAATCGCGTGTACTATGAAAAGGGAATAATAATAATAATAATAGGAAACAGAAGAAAAAACAGTAAGGTCTTCCGAAGGAACTCAAAAGACCTTAATAATAGGGAAAAAGAAACCGAACGAAAACAATAAGGTCTTTCGTTGGAAACGGATGACCTTAACTAGATTGATAGATAAACTGCCTTAGCTTTCATTCAGTTGTATTAATATTGCATTGTCTTGAATATCATTTGTTCAATATTACTTTTAAAAATAATTCCAGTTTTGGGAAATAACACTTACTATTCTAGACCCTTAAGACCCACTATATGGAAGACATGAAAAAAATTTTAATCTATCATTATGCAATGAGTAGATGATCGTTCTTGCTTTAGTTATGTTTAACAAAACATTGAGTGTGAAAGACACGTATAGGTTAAATGACTATACATCCAGTGGAAATGGTTGGACGGGAAGTACACTTTAAATCTTTATAATTCACTTCCTGTGTGACTGGAAGTGCTCAAAACTACTTAAATTTCCACATCGAGCGTGTAGGAGTTATCCTTGAAAGTTTCGTTGACAAATACTCAATTTTCGACCACTTCCGGTTTGGACGAAACATACTTTCGGTGGAAATGGTCAGACGTGAAGCATTTTTTCAAACTTTATTATGAACACTTACATTCATTAGAAACTTAAAAAAAATATTTCAAACCACTTCCGGTTGACAACGGAAGTGTCGACGGAAAAAATGAAACACGCTAGCTACGAGGGGTGATCAAAAAGTTCGCGAACTATCTCTATATTTACAAAACCACAATTCAGATTAGAATGAAATTTGGCACACATATAGTCATACACATTTTCTATAAATAGCAGGTGTTATATAATGCTTTGCTCCGTGTTTGTGACGTCACAATGTGAAAATGACGTCAGATTGTAGGTGACTTGTGACAAAAAATGGTTGACTCAGTCGAACTCGAGAAACGAACGACTGTAAAGTTTAACGTATATCTTGGAAATTCCTTTGCAGTAGAATATGATAATTTGTACAAGGTTTATGAAGACAAAAGACTTAACAGAAGTTCAATCATTAATTGGATTGATTGTTTTAGTGAAGGCAGGGAGATGGTTAGAAATGATGTTTGCCAGCAAAAGCAAGCCAGGGAAAAGATGTGTCCTTAGTTGGGCAATTTGTCATGAAAGAACGCCAAGTTACAATTTGAAAAATAATTGAATATCTTAACAATAATACAATTATTAAATCCCTAAAATATCGTTTACTTTAGACTTTAAACATATGAGATATGATAAAAAGAGGTCGTCCATACTTTATCCACAATAAATAAACGACGCTCCCGGGTCAGAGGACTCGGGTTTTGATGATCACCATGCTAATTTTGGGAAGGGATGTCCTTATCCACCCATCCTATTTCCGAGATTTGGCCATTTCTGACAGATGGTCTGTTCTTATGAAAAATAGCTTGCATGGTAAGAAATATAAGACTCGGACAAATCTTTAGACTCTTGTGAACAGAACGCCACGGAGCATGTCACGTGACCGCCTTGATCGCGTGATTCACGCATGGGCAGAACAATGGCAAATGTGCATTATAATCAGAGAGGTCTACTTTAAAAAATAATGAGCACTGAAACCTCATTTTATTTCTTTTAAGGAAGTAATTCAATTAGTTCGCGAACTTTTTGATCACCCCTTGTACATAGGCACATATACAAATCAAGACTTACCATCCCCGAAAGTTTCATGACTTTATATTTAATCATTTCTGAGAAAACGCCCAGACAAAACTTCATTTGAAAAATTGAAATTTGGCCATAACTCGCGGCCGGAAGTGACTTTTCAAAACGATTAAAAATGACACCAGTTCATTTAATTTCCCATCAATGCTGAAAGTTTCATAAAGATCTAATCGAGGCGTTTTCGAGAAATCTTCTGCACAAAATTGGTAAGAAGAATAATAATAATAGTGGAAAAGAAACAACAGAATAATAAGAAGGTCTTCCGTTGAAGACGAGTCGCCCGCGTGGCGCAGTGGTTAAAGCGTCTGCTCTAGAGTCGCGAAGTAAGGAGTTGATCCTTATGTCGCGGGTTCGAATCCCACTGTGGGACGTGGAGACCGGTCCTTCGGATGAGACCGTATAAACCGAGGTCCCATGTCACAGAAGGTGCTGGCACGAAAAAGATCCCTCACTGCTCAATGGCCGTAAGTGCCGAGTTTAGGACAAAATTTGCAGCTCTCCACCAGCAAGTGATGGCGTCTCCATATGAGTGAAAAATTCTCGAGAGGGACTTTAAACAACCTACAAACAAAAATCCGTTGAAGACGAAAGACCTTAATTCAGCGCTGAATTGACTTGACTCGGAATAACCCAACTTCCCACCAAGAAGCTAGAAAGCTAAAAATACATGCGGTGTTTTCCAGTGAAAGTGTCGAGAATCGAACCTCAGTAATTTATTGATTTTTTTTTTCTCCAGAAATTCTTATTAGTCCGTTCTGACTAACTAGTCACGATTTTATTAGTCCGAATGAAAATGTATTAGTCGGAGACTAACGGACTAACGTTAATTAGAATCCTGGCTGAATAGTATTTGCACAATCTTTCAACATTTTAAAGTTGATTTTTTACTCCAGATCGTAAGGTTAAACCAGTAATAATTCCTTTGATTACTTTCGCGAAAAAAAAAAAAAAAAAAAAAAATAGAAAACGTTTGCTTCAACAACTTCACAGCCATGTCGTTTATTAATTAATGCTAAAAGAACTATGATTGAAAGATGGTTGAACAAAATTTTCCCGGAATGTATAATATACCTTTTGATTTTATTAAAAAATATACCGCTAAAAATCTTGTGGTAACTTAATAAGACAATATAATCAAATCAGATAAAATTTTGTAGAAACTGAGTGCTAATAAACAAATATTCAGAGAGTATAGAATAAATTCCGGGAAGAATTCATCCCGTCGTTCCTGCTTTACAATTAGCTAATGTCGAGTAAAAAAATAAGGTCAATTTTGGAATATGATTTCAGCATATCTCGGGAAGTATACGGAATTTCGGAAAGAACTTTGGTAGCAACGTATATTGTTTATATGTGAATTGTTATGAATAGAAAGTAAAGTTTTAGATCATTTGATTTAAAAGTATTTTATTGCCGAATGTGGGTGCCCTATGTAAGGAGTTCTATACCTTTATTTTTTTTAACACCTTAATTTTTTAAAGCGATCTAAGGGCCTGTGGCTTAGGGTGTAAGGTATTCAATATATACAGGTATGTCTTTGTCACTCGCCTAGCTACAATTAAGTACACAAAAATAAATCTATGATGCATGTATATTTACTCGAGGTGATGCCTCTTGGCTGCTTGCCACTTGGTAACACATGTTACCAACACTGCCTCTTGGCTATACAAACTACTTTGTAATTATTGTTACCAGCACTCACCACTAGGCTATTTGCCACTAGTCACAATCTACAGCATATCCCTTAGTCATCCTGGCTCTCTGTGATCACTTGGTTACTTTGATAAAATGTAAAACAACTTTATACAAACTCTTACCAACTACCCCGTGGTCTCCATGACTTTACCTGAGAGTAAAACATAGTCAATTGTCAAACAGGACACCACAGTAAACCCGTACTCTGTACAATTTTACAATTGGATATTCTGCTAAATGAATCATCTTGATGTCAATTTTTTAATATTGTTTTACAGGCAAAAATCCTAAATCTATAACATTCTTTCTTGTATTCTCAATCAATCAAATAAGTTACAGTTTTGTACTCCGTTTGGCCCTAGATACCATGGAGCAAAGAAGAGGCACATTTATTTATTTATTTATATTTATAGTATTGCATTAGTTTGTTTGCTTAATACTCAGGAGCAGAGAAGATTTTCAAAGCATTAATGCATTTTCGCTATATAATGAATAGAGCCTCGCCAACACACCAGAACCCCTGACCCAGGGGCCATGAAATTCACAATTTTGGAGCAGGAACCCTTGCTCATCCTAAACCTGCACTCAGTACATCAGTACCCAGGACCAGAGAAGATTTTCAAAGAATTAATGCATTTTCACTACATAATCATTAGAACCCTAACTAACACCAAAACCATTGATCCAGGGGCCATGAAATTCACAACTTTGGAAGAGGTACCCTTGCTCATCATAAATATGCATTTAGTTTGTTTGTTTAATACCAAAGAGCTGAGAAGAAGATTTTCAAAGCATTAATTCATTTTCATCATAACATAAATAAGCCCCCTCCCCATAGAAACCCTGACCCAGGGGCCATATCTTTCACAATTTTGGAAGAGACACCCTTGCTTATAATAACTATGCATTTAGTTGTTTGCTTAATACCAAGGAGCAGAGAAGATTTTAAAAGTATAAATTCCTTTCAGTATATAATAAACAAGAGGCCTGGAATTGCTCTGATGATGAATTGTACAACCCTCTCACTTTTAATCTAAACCTCTTAATATCCTAAATATTTAGATAAAACCTTGAAATTCCAAAAGTAGGTCAACATCATCTACTTTTTGACTAACATATCCATAGAACCAAGATGCATCAACTGACAAACTGATTGATATTATTTAAAATCTACTTTTTAGTTGACACACTTAGAGGATTCAAAAATTGTATGTTGATTCTAGGCCAATTAGAATCTGAAATAATTAAATATAGTTACGAAATTCCAAGAGAAGGTCATGGTGACTAGCTTCTTGGTTGAAACACTCAAAGGGCTCGAGGTGCTTCTTCTGACAAGGTTTAATGATTCTAAGCCAACTAGTATCTGAAATATTTAAATATAGCAATATAATTTCAAAAGTAGGTCACTGTGATCTACTTTTTGACAAGTATGTTTCAAGGCCCCAAAGATGCATTAATCTACAAAGTTTGATGATTCTTAATCTCCAAGTATCTGAAATAATGACGTTAAATGTTTTGAAATTGAATAGCTATAAAATTCAGACAAAGTAGGTCACAGTGACCTACTTTTTGGTTGACGCATATCAAAGGCCCATGATGCATAAACTGACAAGTTATGATGTTCGTTGGATTCAAAGTGTCCAAGATATCCATCAAAACCAAATTACCGCGGTAAAACGAATACCTGAAAAATTCAAAAACTAGGTCACCTACTTTTAACATGATGTGAGGTCCTAAGATGCATCAACTGACAAGGTTTGATGACCCTAGTTGTTAAAGTGGGCAAAGTATCAAAGATTTAACAAAACAGAATTTTAGGTCAACTTTTAAGTGACTTTGAGACTATTCCCTTTGTCCCAGGGTGATGTCTTGAAAAAATTTAAATCTACAACATATCCCAATTCTTATGTTTAAGTTTGGTGATAATCTGCCAAGTGGTTCTTGAGAAGATTTTATAGCAAACATTACTTTTGTTTTTATTTCCTTAAATATCTCCCCTTGTTTCAGGGTCACATCCCTATTCTTAGTATATTTGTTTGTTTGTTTGTTTGTTTGTTTGTTGTTTAATGCCCCTCTCGAGAATTTTTCAATCATATGGAGACGCAACCCTTGTCGCTGGAGTGTTGCAAATTTTGACCTATATTTGGCACTCAGGGTCCTTGAGCAGTGAGGGGTCTTTTTCGTGCCAACATCTACTGTGACATGGGACCTCGGTTTATAAGGTCTCATCTGAAGGACCGGTCTCAACATCCCACAGTGGGATTCGAACCCGCGACGTAAGGATTAGCTCCTTACTCTGCGACTCTGGAGCAGACACTCTAACCATTGCACCATGCGGGCGACGATTATTCTTAGTATAAAGTGAAGGCCCTTAGGCCAAGGATACCCTGTGACAAAGAAGAAGGTACGGTTTTAGCTTTATTGTGCCCTAAAATTTAATGGCATCAAAAAGTTATATAACTGCCTTAAATATTACTTGAGTACATGACTGGTAAATCAGGAAATAATATGGCATGAAGGAGTATCATTTGGAAATATGAAGTCATTAATTTGATGGATATCTCTATTTTAAAGAGAAAAAGCTTCAAATGACCAATTTCAAGGGTTATTTTCTTCAGAAAATAGCGTCCACAGCGGTCACCTACTTTAATTTTCAGATATGTTGTGTATAATTCTTTGAACCAGAAGTCTCTGATGAGACTGTAGCTCTACTGGTTGTACTTATAAAGAAAGATAAAAGTAGCATTTGGACTTGAAACTTTGCAACAGCAATAAATAGAATAATGATCCTTGGTTTAGTCTGTTTTTATTGCAATCAGAATAAAACTGTAGGAGGAGTAGACTTTTAAAATAATTTTACAGAAACTTCAATTTAAGTGACCATGGCAACATCATTCAACAAAATCAAAAAGCAATAATGACAATGATGTATCTCAGTGTAGTCTACTTGTATGCCAAGTTATACTGAAATCAGACAAAACAAAAAAATTCTATTTTTTAGTAACCATGGCAACAACGTTCATCAAAATCCAAAACTGGTATAAAGAATTATGTATCATAGTGTTAAGTCTACTTGTGTGTCAAGTTATACTAAAATCAGATGAAAACTGTATGAGGAGTAGCATTTTGAAATTATTTCAAGGAAATTTATATTTTTAGTAACTATGGCAACACTGTTCATTGAATTAAAAAAAAACGATATACAGAATTATGTATCTTAGTGTAGTCTACTTATGTGCCAAGTTATACCGATATCAGACCAAAACTGTAGGAGGAGTAGCATTTTGAAAGTATTTCAAAGAAATTTCTTTTTTAGTTACCATGGCAACACCGTTCATTGAATTCAAAAAACGATACATAGAATTATGTTAGTGTAGTCTACTTGTGTCCCAAGTTATATTGAAATCAGACCAAAACTGTAGGAAGAGAAGCGTTTTGAAAAGTTGTTTACAGACAGACAGACAGACAGACAGCTAGACAGACGGACAGACGACGATCACCTTACTATCACATAAGCTCTTCTGGTCTCTGACCAGTAGAGCTAATAATCACATATCTCAAAATCTTGGGTGATGCCTGTGGCCAATATTATCTGAAAGAAAATTCCATAGAAAATTGGTGTCTTCTGAAATTTTTTAAGAAAATATGGGAAAATGCACAAGTTTATGATGTCACAATTAGCATTTAGAAGGTCATGTGAGAAAAATGATTTGTATTATCTTTGTGCATGGAAGTTCAATATTCAGAAACATGAGTTTTAATATTTTATGTCACTTTTATTTTTAAGAAGAAACACAGGGCAAGATTTGTACTGAAACCGGACCTCGTTTTTTGACAAAAATAGACCTAGGGTTTCTTGAGATATGACCCATTCCAAAACGTTTACGCACACTGCACAAATGGCCACAGCATAACCTCTTTAAGACTTTGGCTCAGAAGAGCTTATAAGTAACCCCCCCCCCCCCCCCCCCAAACCCCTGACCCAAGGGCCACATCTTTCAGAATTTTGGAAGAACCACTCTTGGTCATCATAATTATGCATTTAGTTTGTTTGCTTCATACCAAGGAGCAGAGGAGATGATTTTCAAAGCATTATTACTTTTTCAGTATATGAGAAATAAACCCACTCACCCTCCTCCCCCCCCCCCTCGGAACCCCTGACCCAGGGGGCACACCTTTCACAGATTTGCACCCTTCCTCATCATCACTGTGGCCTTAGTTCCTCAGCAGAGGAGTAGATTTCCAAAAATTGATGCATGTTCACTATGTAATCAACAGACCCCCACCCTAACACCAGACCCTAACATCAGAACCCCGACCCAGGGGCTACGTAATTCACAATTTTGGATGAGACACCCTTGTTCTCTATAATTATGCATTTATTTCATCTGCTTAATACCCAGGAGGCGAGGAGAACATTTTTGTTCATAAATTATGCATTTGCACTTTATATTCAACAGAGCCCATCCCTAGCACAAGAAGCCCTGATCCTGAGGCCATGAATTTTACAATTTTGGTATAGAGACCAATGCTTATTACAATCATGCCAATAGTTTGACTTCTTGATGTTCAGGAGTAAAGAAGAGGATTTTTAAAAATTGCAATAAATTTTGATGGTTTAAGCCCTGCCCCTCAAGCCTCAGGGGGCAGGGGCCATGAATTTCTCAATATTTATTCCCCTTTACCCAGAAATGCTATATGCCAAAATTGGTTGAATTGGTTCAGTGGTTCCACAGAAGCAAGTGAAAAAGTTTGCATGACAGTGGACAAAAAGCAATAGCAATAGGGCAGTTGAGTGAACTCATGTGACCTAAAAACTTTGTCAGCTCCGAAATATGCCATATTAAAAGGCCAGTAAGTCTGATACACAAACGTTTACTATGCACCTTTCAGTTTTACTAACTACAAAAATCAATTTTCAGATAATAAATTTAACATAACATACATTTTTTCATGTAGTTTTGGAAAACAAACATACAAGTCATATGATAATGAAGTTGTTAAAAAAGTTGCAGTTCAATAAGTCTTAGAGTCAATTAAAAACCAGAAGTCTCTGACAAAACTGTAGCTCTACTGGTTGTACTTATAAAGGAAGATAAAAGTAGCACTTGGACTTGAAACTTTGTAACAACAATAAATAGAATAATGATCTTTGGTTTAGTCTCTTTTTGTGGCAAGATTTATTGCAATCAGACTAAAACTGTAGGAGGAGTAGCCTTTTTAAAACAATTTTACAGAAATTTTGATTTAAGTAACCATGGCAACATCATTCAACAAAATCAAAAAACAATAACATCAATTATGTATCTCAGTGTAGTATTCTTGTATGCCACATTATACTGAAATCAGAAAAAACGTGTAGGAGGAGTAGCATTTTGAATTCAAAGTATCTCAAGAAAATTTCTATTTTTAGAAACCATGGCAACATTATTCATTGAAATCCAAAAATCAGTACAAAGAATTATGTATCATAGTGTAGTCTACTTGTTTGCCAAGATATACTGAAATCAGACCAAAACTGTAGGAGGAGTAGCATTTTGAAAGTATTTCACAGAAATTTCTATTTTTAGTAACCATGGCAACACCATTCATTGAAATCAAAAACTGATATATAGAATTAGGCATCTTAGTATAGTCTACTTTTGTGCCAAGTTATATTGAAATCAGATCAAAACTGCAAGAGGATTAGTGATTTGAAAGTTTTTCACAGAAATTTCTATTTTTAGTAACCATGGCAACATCATACATAAATCAAAAACCGATAAACAGAATTATTTATCTTTGTATAGTCTACTTGTGTGCCAAGTTATATTGAAATCAGATCAAAACTGTAGGAGGAGTAGCATTTCGAGAGTATTTCACAGAAATTTCTATTTTTAGTAACCATGGCAACACTGTTCATAGAAATCAAAAACTGATATATAGAACTATGTATCTTAGTGTAGTCCACATTTGTGCCAAGTTATATTGAAATCAGATCAAAACTGTAAGAGGATTGGTGATTTTGAAAGTTTTTCACAGAAATTTCTATTTTAAGTAACCATGACAACACCATTCATTGAAATCAAAAACAGATAAACAGAATTATGTATCTTAGTATAGTCTAATTGTGTGCTGATTGATATTGATATGAGACCAAAACTGTAGGAGGAGTAGCACTTTTAAAGGATTTCCCAGTAATCTCTACTTTTAGTAACCATGGCGACACCGTTCATTGAAATCAAAAATCGATACAGAGAATTATGTATCTTAGTGTAGTCTACTTACAAAACGATAAGTCCTTTAACTTTGGAGTTCTGAATGACAGTGAAGACTGAACGATAAGTGAACACTGAACGCAAGGTGAACGCAAAGTGAACAAACGGAGAGTGAACGCGAGCGCATGGTGAACGCTGAACGCAAAACTGTGAATGGAGAGTGAAGGGTGAAAGCACGGTGAAAGAACGGTGAACACATTCTGAACGAACGGTGAGCCAATGGAAAAATTGGAAAGTATAGCATTTCAGGGACTGTATATGCCAAGTTATATTGAAATCAGACCAAAACTGTAGAAGGAGTAGCGTTCTGAAAAATTGTTTACAGACGGATGGACAGACAGACAGCTAGACAGACGGATGGACAGCGGACACCTTACAATTGCATAAGCTCTTCTGGTCTCTGACCAGTAGAGCTAAAAATCTACACTGAAACATATTGATTTGTGTCTTCCTTTGTTAATAGAACTAAACAGAGGCAAAAATATTTGCAAGTCTCTTAAATTTTGCGTTTATAAATATTTTTAGTGAAGGTTTAGCATAAGCATACAAATAGAAAGCAGACAAGTAAAATCACGTGGAAAGAATGTCCACCAGTGTAGTTGCCTATGCTGGGGAAAGCTTGTTCTGATCCATCTTTTTCTTGCATTGCTTGCGTTGCATTATTAGAATCAAGAATTCTGGAAAGAGAAGAATATTTTGTTTATAAAATGATTATTTAACAAGAGGTTCACACACAAATGTGAGACACAACATTCACATGAGTCACCATGGTGATGAACAGATAAGGAAGATTTTACCATCAACTGAGAACAGAATTTCAAATTTATTTAACTTTTGAAAATTAAAAAAAAAAAAAAAACACCTTGTGTCCCTATTGAAATGTTACATGTACAAAACTTCCTGCATTTCATGACAAACAAGTTGATGAAACAAAACAAGTTGATGAAACAAGAATATCAGCAGTCTCATTTTAAGTCATCATTTCGTAGATTCTATGGTCGATACAATGACCTTGACCTTACACACTGAAGTTGACAGTTTTTTCCATTATTTCCCGATCATGACAAGGACTGGTGATCGGTCGGCAGGGGATGCTCACTCCTCCATGGCACCTGATCCCACCTCTGATGTTTCGGAGGTCCGTGTTTGTTCTGCTCCTATTTTGTATTGTTTAATGGACTTTTGAGCTTGAATACTGTGTTCGTTATCTCCATATATATATATATATATATATATATATATATATATATATATATATATATATATATATATATATATATATATATATATATATATTTATTTATACATTTTAATACAGTTTTGGCAAAGGACACTTTTTGCTCAGAGAAACTTAGTAAATTAATTAAGCCTTTAGTTCAAGGGAGAGAAAAGCACAAACTGCTTTGACATCTATTTTTTACTTACTAAGTTTATAGAAATAAAAAGTATTCCATAATTTAATATTTCATGTAAAAGCAAACTAATAGATAATGGAGAATAACTCTACTTACTTTAAGACACAGTTATCAATTACAATACTTCCATGGGCACAGTTCTCACTGAATGGTGTGATCGATGAATATAAAGATCAATAAATTCTTTATTGTTACGATCAAATTGAAGTTTTTCACTTCTGAAAACAAAAAAAATAAGCTCTCATATAATAAATAATAAAATATTTTACCTGTTACTTTTGAACATATCTTTTGTCTTATTTGCACGGAGTTTATAGACTGCTCTGTAACATTCTTGATCTGAAAATACAAATAAAATATCTAACTAGAACTGTCTAGAATGGACAAATACACCCTGCTGGGATTTTCAGAAAAAAGAGTTGCAATGAGGTAAAATATATGGTTCCAAAAGAAAACCCTTGTCACAAGAAATAAAAATGTGAAACATGAAAGCCCTACATGTAGCACCAATTGTTCAGAAGTTATGGGAAAGATTCAAGTTTTTCCAATGTAGGTCAAACACAAAGGTCAAGGTAAGGAAGTCAAAAATACTGGTACCCGAATAAAGCCCTTGTCACAAGGAATATTAATGTGAAAATGTGAAAAATGAAATTCCTAGCACTAATTGTTCAGGATTTATGGCCAACATCAAACATGGTAAAGTGGGTTAAAGTATTACAAAAATAGATCAAACACCAAGGTAAAGATCAAAAGGTCCAAAATATTGGTATTCAAAGTCAAGAGGAATACACATTCAAGTGAAATATGAAAACCCTAGCAGTGACTGTTCAAAACTTATGGGTACAGTTAAAGTTTTGGTGTACAAACAAACAAACAGATTAGCAGCAAGAACAGCTTGACAGGCCAATATATATGTATATATATATATATATATATATATATATATATATATATATATATATATATATATATATATATATATATATATATAAAGCACTAAAAATGACCAACGACACGAACAATAATAATTGTCAAATTTTCGGGACAACCTGTCCCTTCCTCAGGACAAAGAAAAAAGTTAAGAAGTCATAAAAACAAAGGAAATAGAGAAGCAAAAACAACTAGCACTACTACTAAACTACCAAACACTAAATATTTACAATGTTACATGTTTAATTTGGAGTTTATAAACAGTTGTGAACAAAGAAATCCGGAGCGCTATGAATTGCGTCTGGTCTATCGGGTGTACTCTGGTGAAGTGTGATTTACATAATTGAACGAATTAATTATCGCTAATTAATTACGACCAACAGTAAATCGTACATTGTACAATGTAAATTTATCAGACAAAAAGTTCTTTAATGTATAAAAGAAAATAATGGTTATCACAATTGTTACTAAAAAAAGAAAAAAAAGAATTTTGACAAATTACAACATTTCATTATCTCAAGATACTGTACAAGAGTATGTATATGTACGTGTTTTCATTCAATTATTTTATTTTTATAATTCTAATTTACATTTTTGTTTAAATCCAGATCAACATCAAAATTATTAATCTTCTTAATTGAAAAAAAGTAAAAAAAAAATAAATACATAAAAAAAAAAAATGAATAAAGAACAGCATAAATGTACATGTACAGTATGTCCAATCGTAAACTGCTATGGTATTATTTTGATTTATCTTGTACAAAAAATAATGTAAAGCTTGATTTACCTTGTTAAGGTCTTCCGTCTCCAACGGAAGACCTTATTGTTTTCTTTCGGTTTCTTTTTCCCTATTATTATTATTATTTCTCTTACCGATTTTGTGCACGCGAGTTCTCGGAAATGGCTCGGTCGATTTTCACCAAACTTTCACATCTGATAGATATTCATCTGAACCTTGTCGGAAATTTTCGTCGTCGATGACGTCACTGCCGGTCGTGAGATATGGACGATTTTCTGATTTTTCAGAGGGTCGGCTTGTCCTGGCAATCACTCCTAAACGACTCAAGATTTTGAGTTGAGATTTTCAGTGAGGGTAGAAAAAGGATTGTAGATGTGCTTTTTTGCGTCTATATCTTCCCGGCGCAAAAGGCGCCAAAGCTCGCCTGGGCTCGAAAAATAGGCTCACAAGCATCTCGCAAAATTTGACAAGTTTTCTATCATATCTTTATACCTGTAAATATTTTGTTAAAACATATATAACAAAAGTTGTGCAGAATGATAAGTGCTTTCATTTGATATCAAGAAAAAGGGGCTGACCCCTCAAGTTAGGGGCTCAGAGGGGCCAAAAGTCTTTCATCTATAACTCTTTAACAATCAATATTTTGTTATACATTACTGAAGCAAAAATGTTCATCTTAACATTCTGCAACTACATATTATAAAATTTTGATCATATGTTACGTAATAAGGGGCCATAAGGGGCCAGAATGCTAAATCTTTGACACATTATATCTCCAAAAGGGGAAATATTTTGATAAGCAATATTGAACAAAAGATGTTCAGAATAATGTTCTAAACAATATACACCCTTTTAATTTTTGCAAGACATCCCCATTAAGGACTTGGAGGGCTGGCCCCTAAATACTGTTATTCTATATATCTCTTAAACGAAAGGAAATTTCTGAATAGTGGTGGAACAAAAAGTCTTCAAAATCACAAGACCTTTCATTTGATATCAAGAAAAAGGGGCTGACCCCTCAAATTAGGGGCTCAGAAGGGCCAAAAGTCTTTCATCTATAACTCTTTAATGATCAATATTTTGTTATAAGTTATTGAAGCAAAAATGTTCATCTTAACATTCTGGAACTACATATTATAAAATTTTGATCATATGTTACGTAATAAGGGGCCATAAGGGGCCAGAATGCTAAATCTTTGACACATTATATCTCCAAAAGGGGAAATATTTTGATAAGCAATATTGAACAAAAGATGTTCAGAATAATGTTCTAAACAATATACACCCTTTTAATTTTTGCAAGACATCCCCATTAAGGACTTGGAGGGCTGGCCCCTAAATACTGTTATTCTATATATCTCTTAAACGAAAGGAAATTTCTGAATAGTTGTTGAACAAAAAGTCTTCAAAATCACAAGACCTTTCATTTGATATCAAGAAAAAGGGGCTGACCCCTCAAATTAGGGGCTCAGAAGGGCCAAAAGTCTTTCATCTATAACTTTTTAATGATCAATATTTTGTTATAAGTTATTGAAGCAAAAATGTTCATCTTAACATTCTGCAACTATATATTATAAAATTTTGATCATATGTTACGTAATAAGGGGCCAGAATGCTAAATCTTTGACACATTATATCTCCAAAAGGGGAAATATTTTGATAAGCAATACTGAACAACGGAAGACCTTATTGTTTTCGTTCGGTTTCTTTTTCCCTATTATTATTAAGGTCTTCCGTCTCCAACGGAAGACCTTATTGTTTTCGTTCGGTTTCTTTTTCCCTATGATTAGGGTCTTCCGTCTTCAGCGGAAGACCCTTCTATTATTCTTATGTTTCTTTTTCACTTTTATTATTATTCTTCTTTTTTTTTCTCCTTACCGATTTTGTGCAGAAGATTTCTCGGAGATGAATTGATCGATTTACTTCAAATTTTCAGAGTTTATGTCTTATCATCTGAAGTTTGTACCGGCTTTTCAAAATTTGAAAAATCACTTCCGGTCGGTAGTTATCGCCCTTTTATTAAAATTCAGAGGACCTCCTTGTCTGTGATGGAACTCAAAAACGGCTTAAGCTAGAGTGCTGAAATTTTCAGTGATGATAGAGGACATGTTGCCATTATGCACCTGGGTTTAGATATTTTCCGGAAGTGCCTAGTATGGAAGCTCGGTTGGGGTCGAAATTTAGGACACGAATCATGAATCAATTTTTGAGACATTTTGTATCATATCTTTTAAAGTATAATTATTTTGTTAAAACATACTGAGCAAAATTTGTGCAAAATTACAAGATCTTTATCATGATATCAAGAAAAAAGGGCTGACTTGTCATATTAGGGGCCGAGAGGGGCCAAAAGTATTTAACCAATAACTCTTTAACGATCAATATTTTGTAATGCATTACTGAAGCAAAAATGTTTATCACAACAATTTACAACTATATATTACAATACTCACATCATATGTTACATAATTAGGGGCCTTAAGGGGCCAGAAAGCTAAATCTTTGACGCTTTATATCTCAAAAGTGGGAAATATTTTGATAAGCAATATTGAACAAAAGATGTTCAAAATAATGTTCTAAACAATATGCAACCTTTCATTTTTCGCTAAATGTCCCCATTAAGGAGTTGAAGGGCCGGCCCCTAAATTATTCTTTTGCAAATATCTCGGAAACGAAAAAGAATTTCTGACTAGTTGTTGAACAAAAAGTGTTCAAAATCATAAGAGCTTTAAAGTGATATGAAGAAAAAGGGGCTGGCCCTTCATAATAGGGGCTGAAAGGGGCCGAAAGTCTTTGAACAATAACTCTTTAACGATCAATATTTTGTAATGCATTACTGAAGCAAAAATGTTTATCTCAACAATTTACAACTATATATTACAATACTCACATCATATGTTAAATAATTAGGGGCCATAAGGGGCCAGAATGCTAAATCTTTGACGCTTTATATCTCAAAAGTGGGAAATATTTTGATAAGCAATATTGAACAAAAGATGTTCAAAATAATGTTCTAAACAATATGCAACCTTTTATTTTTTGCTAAACGTCCCCATTAAGGAGTTGAAGGGCCGACCCCTACATATTTCTTTTGCAAATATCTCAGAAACGAAAAAGAATTTCTGACTAGTTGTTGAACAAAAAGTGTTCAAAATCATAAGAGCTTTAAAGTGATATGAAGAAAAGGGGGCTGGTCCTTCATAATAGGGGCTGAAAGGGGCCGAAAGTCTTTGAACAATAACTCTTTAACGATCAATATTTTGTAATGCATTACTGAAGCAAAAATGTTTATCACAACAATTTACAACTATATATTACAATACTCACATCATATGTTACATAATTAGGGGCCTTAAGGGGCCAGAAAGCTAAATCTTTGACGCTTTATATCTCAAAAGTGGGAAATATTTTGATAAGCAATATTGAACAAAAGATGTTCAAAATAATGTTCTAAACAATATGCAACCTTTCATTTTTCGCTAAATGTCCCCATTAAGGAGTTGAAGGGCCGGCCCCTAAATTATTCTTTTGCAAATATCTCGGAAACGAAAAAGAATTTCTGACTAGTTGTTGAACAAAAAGTGTTTAAAATCATAAGAGCTTTAAAGTGATATGAAGAAAAAGGGGCTGGCCCTTCATAATAGGGGCTGAAAGGGGCCGAAAGTCTTTG